TAACCCAGAGAGAGTGACAAAATACTGCATGCATGGCGAGAGCTGGGCAGGACCCGAGTGGGAGCTACCTGGGCAGGTTCAGGGGCAGGCGTCCCAGATGCGGCAGGGGATGGAAGGCAGGATTCCACTTCACCACGTAGTGGCTTCCCAAGGCGCGCAGCTTCCAGGGGCAAACACGGATTTGGTCTTGGCTGAACTCAGCGCTTGGAGATCTCAAATAAGAACTGAAATGCAGGGAGCATTAGGACTGAAATTAGTGGCCAGGGGTGCATAACCGTGGCTGGCTCATCTGTTCAGCAGAGCGAAGGGTTCAGGGAGCAGGATCGAGCTCCCCAGGCAATGGCGATGGTTGAGCTGGAGCTGAGACCCGGTCCTAGCAGAGGCTGCAAGCAGGGATGGGCACAGAAGTTCTGCGGCATCAGTCAATGCAGAGGCCATGGCACAAAAGCGGTGGCCCAGGAGGCTCACTCAGCCACCACAGATAATCTTTAGGGAGCACGGCACTCCCCACAAACTGCTCATACTCACAGCACTGAGATGGTAGTGCAATTCTTGTGGGTCAGGATTACCTCCAAAGGAGTGGTGATTCTTGGGGAAGGGGGGCGGCAAGGCAGGGCCTGGCATCAACATGATAAAACAAATTAATGAAAATATTGACGACTTGGACAATCCAGTTATTCAGGCAAGTTTGACACACTGCTGTGAAATTTGATGAGAAAACTTCCCAGTAGCAGGGATTCTTCCCAGCATCTTCTCTAACCACAATAGATTCGAAGAAGTTAATAATAAACACATTAACAAATTCCTTCATTTCTTGGGATATTAAAAAATATTTTTATAAGTAAACATTGGCTTAGGAAAGAAATTAAGAATTCATTAGAAATCTATCTTAAAGTAATAATAACACTGCTCTGCATATCAGCATGAGTTGGGACACCGCCAAACGGGGTTTAGAAAGAAAATGTACTCCCTTAAAGGTCTGTAATAAGAAATTTAAAAAAGAGATATTAATGAAAAATAATTAGGACACTGTAAAATTCTAGAAGAGGGCAAAGTATTAATTGAAAGCAAAATAGGAAAATAATATAAAAGCATATGTTAGTAACATGGAAAGTAGGTGGTATAAATTACATAAAATTAAAAGTTGGTTATTTGAAGAGAGGAAAATTGATAAACTTCTGATAAATATAACTAAAAAGACATGTATAAAGATATCTGTATGGACACCCATATGTCCTTTATTGTATCTCTTGGATAGCTGTGACATCTACCGATTAAAAACATCAATGTGCACACATACACACACGGAAAATCCTAACATTCCCCACACTAATCTCCTTTGCTGGCTTCTCTTTCTAGCCATCAAATGGTGAGGGGACCCACGATCTGACCTCTAAGATTCATCCCTAGGTGATCTCCTCTGGTCCCTTGACTTTAAAGAGAATCTTCTTAAATTCAGGCTTTCAATTTGCCATCTCTGTTCTTGACCTTTCCCTTGAGCTCTAGATGTTTTTTGTTTAATTTCCTACTCAGCATCTCTCCTTCACTGTCTGGTAAGCATCCTGTAAACACCTAGACAGAGCCCTTTGCATGCACCCACTCATGGCTTGTCCCTCCCTCAGTTTCCCTCCCCGCAGGGAATGGTACCACATTTGCATGTTACACCTCTCACCTCACCTCCCATGGAATGTGTCAACTAGTCCTATTGGCACCATCTTTGCATATACTTATATTTCAGCTGCTTCTTGCCACCTCCATCGCTACCACTTTAATCTGTATCTTCATCTTCTCTCGCCCGGATTTTGCAGTGAATCTAACGGCCTCCTAACAAGCCTCCCTGTTTCTATTCAACACCCCTTCCCAGGAGGCTGGATGATCCCTCACACACTGTCCAGTGACTTCCCATCACACTTAAAGAAAAGTCCAAAGCCTTCCCTCAGATCACATGGCTAGCTCCTTTAACTCCTGCCCAAATGCCAGGTCACATTGTCAGAAGCGGTGCTTCATTCCCACCACCCTTCCTCTCGCTCTGTTCCCTTTTCCTGCTATATTTTTCCTCACAGCCGTGAAAACTACCTAAGACTGAAGGATGTATTTGCATGTGTGTTTATTGCCTGCCTCTCTCTCCCTCCGGCTCCCTACGCCCTTGCCCTGCCCTGCCCACCCCTACTCTTATTGCCTCAAAAAAAAAAAAAAAAAAATCTCAGAAACAGCAATTCCCAAAAATACTTAGGTAAGAAGGCCGAGTGGAGGCCTGGCAAAGGGAACAGATGTCTGAGGCTATGGGAGGCCCCCATATTCATGGTCAGAGGCAGGAACTTGAGCACAGCAGTTGCAATACATGCTGGGATTCGAGTTATCACACAGGACTGACACTGTGACCTCAGCAGAGCCCAGCTGCATAATGAATACCTGTTGGAAGGACAGACAATGCCTGGAAGTGATACCTGCCATCCATAAACACGAGCATGGGGGTTGGAGTCCACTTTCCTTGGGCGATCCTTCCAGTTCTAGGGTGGAGCTAGAATGGAGTCTTTATTTCTCCAAGTGAATCTCAAAGTACAGTCAAAGCATGCTAGCTCTGATTCACCTCTAGTCACTGGGAGAAACGGAAATCAAAAAAAGGCTTGAAGACTCTGGATATGGAAGTGTAGGGAGAGACACTGGGGCATCGTCTCAGCAATCTGAGAGCCCTGAAGGAAAGTGACTGCGCTCAGGTCTCCCCAGGGCAGGAATGGAGCTTTTAGTGGGGCTCAGTGAGTTCGGGACTAGTAGCCTGGACAGGGTGCAGGTCCCATAGCCTCGGACACCCACAGCCAGCGGCCTCTGGGTCTTCTCTTTGTTGGAGAACCTCCAGGTGTGGTTCCGACCCTTCTCAAGAGCAGTTGGGCATTCTGGGCTCGAGTAACCCAGCAGTCTTTTAAATATAGACAGTGCAAATCCATTAACAACACTTACATTTTAAACATAGCATTGGCACCACCACTCAGGCTGCTGTACCGAAATCAAGTTACATCCGCCAGTTCTATATTTACAGACCACAGGCTTTAGAAAATGTAGAAACAATCTGGAAAGCAGGGTAAGAACATTTCATTTCAAAATAGGGTTTGCTTGGGAGACTCCACGTCCCCTAAAGAGAATTGTCCTGGAGGCTCTCCTTTACCCCCACAGTCACACAGAATCTACAGCAGGGATAGAGGCAAGATACACACACATGATAAATCTGGAAATCTTATTTTGTTCAGTTAAGGAGTGAAAACAAGCCTGAACTAGACTCATGAGAATCTGGGGTTAGATGGATGCGTCAGCTCTGTACCCTCCCCATGACTCCCCATGTCTACTGTACACTTGCTAATGGGTTGTTTGGTTTTTGAATGTCGAGAGGTTCTCTTAAGTATGTATTTTAGATACTAGTTCTCTGTTGGATGTGTGGTTTGCAAATATTTTTCCCAGTGTGTACTCTGTCTTTCCATTCTCTTACCATGGTTCATTGCACAGCAAAAATGATTTAATTTTGATGAAGTCCAGTTTATTAATTCTTCCTTTTATGGATCATGCTTCTGGTCTGCAGGCCTCAGAATCAGGAGCACCGGTGTCCAGGAGCAGGGGAAGAGGGATGTCCCGGCTGAAGCAAAGATGGCAAGTTCACCTTCCTCCGCCTTGTGCTTCTAGTCAGGCCCCCGGCAGATGGGGTGACACTCGCCCGCACTGGCGAGGGTGACCTTTTCCCCCTCAGCTTCACTGAGACATAATTCTGTGTAAGTTTGTGTACAATGTGATTATCTGATACACATATTTAAAAGCAAAATGATTACCATAATGAGGTTAATTAACACACCCCTTACCTCATATAAGTAATATTTTTTTGGTAGTAAAAACATTCAAGATTTATCCTCTTAGCAACTTCCAAGTATATGATATAGTATTGTCGACTGTGGTCACAATGCTGTATATTAGATCCCCCAAACGGATTCATCTTATCACTGAAAGTTTGTAGCCTTTGACCAATATTTCCCCATTTCTCTCACCACCCTGCTGCTGGCAACCACTATTCTACTCTCTGTTTCTGTGAGTTTAGCTTTTGTAAGAAGCCACATGTAAGTGATATCATACAGTATTTGTGTTTTTCTGTGTGGCTTATTTCACTTAGCGTAATACCTTCATTCTTATGGCTGGATATATATATATGTCACATTTGCCTAACCCATTCATCCATTGTTTCCATAGCTTTCCATGTAGTGTAAAAATGCTGCAGTGAGCATGGGAGTGCAGCTAACCCATCAAGATCCTGACTTCATTTCCTTTGCATATATACTAAGAAGTGGGATTGCTGGATCATATGGTAATTCTATTTTTTTTTTTTTTCTTCCAGAAACATTCCTACTGTTTTCCATAGTGGCTGCACCAATTTACATAATCACCAGCACTCATCTCTTGTCTTTTTTTTAAAGATTTTAGAGAGAGAGAGGAAAGGGGGAGAGAGATCAATTTGTTTTACAATTACTTATGCATTCATTAATTGATTCTTGCATGTGTCCTGACCGGGGATTGAACCAGCAACCTTGGCATAGAGGGACAATGCTCTAACCAGCTGAGCACTGGCCAGGCCACGTCCCTTGTCTTTTTAATAGTAGCCCTTCTAATAGGCGTGAGGTGATATTTCATGGTGGTTTTGATTTGCATTTCCCTGATGAGTAGTGATGGAGAGAAATTTTTCCCGTGCCTGTTGCCCTTTTGTATGTCTTTGGAAAAATGTCTATTCAGCTCCTCTGCCCATTTTTAAATCAGATTATGTGTTTTATTTATTTATTTGTTTGTTTATTTATGTTTGGTATCAAGTTGTATGAGTTTCTTATGTATTTTGGATATTAGTCCCTTATCGAATGCATTGTTTAAAAATATCCTCTCCCATTTTATACGTTCTCTTTTCACTTTGTTGGTTGTTTCCTTCGCAGGAGGAAGCATTTTATTTTCACGGAGTCCCACGTGTTTATTTTTGCTTTTGCTGCCTGTGCTTTTGGTGGAACAGCCAAGAAGTTATTGCCAAGACCAATGTCAGGAAGCTTCTCTCCGATGTTTTCTTCCGGGAGCTTCACAGCTTCAGGTCTCACATTTTAGTTTTTAATCTATTTTGAGTTGATTTTTGTGTCTGGTATAAGATAAAAGTTCAATTTTATTCTTCCACATGTGGATATCCAATTTTCCAGCACCATTTGTTGAAGAGACTATTATTTCCACATTGTGTATTCTTGGCTTTCTTGTCTATGATCGGTTGACTATATACATGTGTGTTTATTTCTGGGCTCTCTGTTCTGTTCCGTTCCATTGATCTCTAGCTCTGTCTCTATGCCAGTACCATACTGTGTGTTTGTTTTTTTTTAAAAGACTTTATCTTTTTTAGAGCAGATTTAGATTCACAGCAAAATTAAGGCGACACATGCATAAATAGATTCCTCCGTTTTCAGCATCCCTACTAGAGTGGAACATTTGTTACCATAGATGAGTCTACATTGACATATCAACATCACCCAAAGTCATAGCCTACATTAGGATGCACTCTTGTTATGTATTCTATGGGTTTGCACAAATGTATAATGGCATGTAACCATCATTTTAATATCATACAAAGTAGTTTCACTGCCCTCAGAGTCCTCTGTGCTCTACTTAGTAATCTCGATTCCCTCTCCCACACAACCCCTGACAAACGCTGATATTTTAATGGTCTCCATAGTTTTGTCTTTTCCCTAATGTCATTTTGTTGGAATCATACAGCATGCCGCCTTTTCAGATTGGCTTCTTTCACTTAGTAACATTCATTTGTGTTTCCTCTATGGCTTTTCATGGCTTGATAGCTCACGTCTTCGTGGCACTGGATCATATTCCATTGTCTGGATGCACCCCAGGTTATCATTCTGCTACTACAGAGCATCTTGGTTGCTTCCATGTTCTGGCAATCGTGAATAAAGCTGTTACAAACATCTGTGTGCAGGTGTTCGTGTGGACATACATTTTTAACTCCTTTGGGTAAATACCAAGGAGCGTGATTTCTGGATTATATGATGAAAGTATGTTTAGTTTTGTTAGAAACCACCAAACTGTCTCCCAAGGGGGCTGCACCATTTTGCATTCACACCCGTAATTAATGAGGGTCCCTGCTGCCCCACATCCTCACGAGCACTTGGTGGTGCCAGCGTTCTGGATTTTGGCCATTCTAATAGGTATGTAGTGGTGCCTCGTTGCTGTTTAATTTTCATTGCCCTAATGACATATGATGTGGAGCATCTTTTCATATGCTCATTTGCCATCTACATATCTTCTTTGGTGAGGTATCTGTTAAGATCTTTGGGCCATTTTTTAATCGGGTTGTTTTCTTATTGCTGAGTTTTTTGTATTTTTTAGATAACAGTCCTTTATCAGATGTGTCTTTTTCAAATATTTCCCCCCAGTCTCTGGCTTTTCTTCTCATTCTCTTGACATTGTATTTCACAGAGCAGAGGTTTTAATTTTAATGAAGTCCAGATTATCACTTATTTCTTTCATGGACCATGCCTTTGGTGTTTTATCTAAGAAGTCATCACCATTCTCAAGGTCATCTAGGTTTTCTCCTATGTTACCTTCTAGGTGTTTATAGTTTTGAGTTTTATATTTAGGTTTGTGATCCATCTTGGGTTAATTTTTGTGAAGGGTATAAAGGTCTGTGTCTAGGGTTTTTTTTTTTTTTTTTGCATGCAGATGTCCAGTTGTTCCAGCAACATTTTTTGAAGAGACTCTCTTTTCTTCATTGTATTGTCCTTTTTGTCAAAGATCAGTTGACAATATTTGTGGGAGTCTAGTTCTGGCCTCTCCATTCTGTTCCATTGATTTGTTAGTTTATTCTTTAACCAATACCACACTATATTGATTATGGTTGCTTTATACTAAGTCTTGAAGTTGAGTAGTGTCAGTCCTCTAATTTTGTTTTTTTCCTTCAATATGGTTTTGGCTATTCTGGGTCTTTTGCTTCTCTATGTAAACTTTAAAATCAGTCTGTCAATATCCACAAAATAACTTGCTGGTATTCTGATGAGAACTGCATGAAATTTATAGATCAATGGGGAAAACTGACATTTTGACAATATTGTTCTCCTATTCAGGATTTTATTCATCAGAATATTATTGTTTTTTCATATAGATCTTGCACATATTTTGTTAGATTTGTACTGAAATATTTAATTTTAGGGAATGCTAATGTAGCCATTATTGTGTTTTTAATTCTCAATTCCACTTGTTAATTGATGGAATACCATACTCGTTTGATTAGTATGACTTTGTAATAACTTTGAAATCAGGAAGTGTGTTGCCTACAGCTGAGTTCTTCTTTCTCAAGATTGCTTTGGCTTATTCTGAGTCTTTCTTAGTTCCATGTAAATTTTAGGATTTTTTTCTATTTCTGTAAAAAAAACACGATTGGAATTTTGATTATGATTATATCAGGTCTATAGATTGAAGACAATCCTGAGAGTAGCAGTGTCCATTGCAAGGATACTGTTTCCAAATAATAAAAACCATCTAATTCTCAACATATTGATGAGTTCTGCACATGAGAAGATAAAGTTTTCTTCCTAGCTTTGAGCCACTCTTGACCATCTGGGCCTTGAAGCAGTAGTGCGTGTGCTCAGAGATTTGAAAACGAGCCCCAAACTCTTAGTCATTTGTCTGTTTGCAGATCAATGACCTGACCTCTTCTGCATGCTCTATATCACAAGGAACTAAGTTTCCCAAGGCCCCTTCCCCTCTGGCTTCTAGGAAGATTCAGTAAGAGGAATAAAGTAGAAGTAGAGGGAAAGCCAGAGCATTTCTCCTTTACTCTCTGCTTCATGGGGCACCTCCAGTGGCAGCTGTACCTCCTTTGTGGCTCCAACTCCCACCGGACAGCTCTTTCTCCCTGGTCCCAGTTTGATTGATTCTTTTTTCTGCTGGGTGGCCCCAGTTCCTGGGCTTTGGTAACACTTTCCTCCCCTTCCTTCCTGTGGCCTTCAGGGTGGTAGTAGGTTTTTGCTGTTGATGATTTTGGGGTTGTCTCGTCCATATGGTTTCTCAGTTCTTCTATCATCTACGTACCAATTACATGTATTAAATTTATCTTGTGTTTGAAATACCTGGAGTGGTTTCTGTTTTCCTGGGAGGCTCTCACTGTTAAAGACTCTCATAAAAACAACGTCAAATTAAACAGTTTAAACAAGGACATCCAGGTCTCTGGGTGAACCAGCAAGCACTGTAGGAACAACAGAGCATTATGAGATCTACTTCCTCTTTCGCACCATGCTAGTTCTTAAGGCTTGCCATATAGCTCAGCCTATAGGCAATCATTCACATCCTAGTCCATGCAAGTGACAGTCCTTAGAGTTGTGCTGTTCACAACATGGCCATCTGTATCTAACAACCCTGGGTGGGTAGATGCTAACCTCATTTTTCTTGGATAGTGATATCTGTTCTTAGTAAGACTAGAGTCAACTAGAGGTAGAAGAAACTATAAAAGCTTTAAAAAAAACACAGTAATTTTCTCTTATCATTCATGAAGCATACGCCTTCCAGACAGCAGAATGGAGGAAGGGACAAAATAAGTGGAGAGGCAATGGAAAAATGCCAGGTATCTCCTAAGAAAGATTCCAAATAGCTACTACACGACACTTCTGCTCACATCCCTTTGAGGGAGTGGTGGTGGGTGGGCTTAGATTGTTCCTTTTCTGGTCTCTGGTTATCTCTAAGAAGCTCATGCTCATGCTCAGGCCTTAAACTTATAGAAAGTTCTAAGGCCCCCATAGAAGAAATAAATAGAGACTAAATCAGAAACCTAAAATCATAGGCATTGAGTCCTAGATTTTACAGATATAAAAAATCAGGTAAAAAAATCACACAGCTAGTTTATGAAAAATGTAGGATTGAAAACCGGGTTCTCTCATTCCTAGTTTGATGAGCTGTTCATGACATGTCGCCTCCCAGGGAAGGCTGTCCTTCGTCCTGTAGCATAGTAAGCAGAGATGCACATTCTTTACAGTTCATCTCCTCCAGTGGTGGAGTTTACTTTTCTACTCCTTGAACCTGGGCTGGCCTTGAGACTTGTGCTGACCAATAGAATATGGCAAAAGTGATATTGTAGACATTTCAAACATAGGTCTTCAGAGCCTTGTAGCTTCCACTCTTGCACTCCTGAAATGCAGTTGCCATGGGAACAAGCCTGAGCTGTCCTGGGGAGGGGGGGGGACACAGACGGACTCCATGGAGGAGACCTCAGGCGCGATGGCCAGCCGTTCCCGCCAGCCACCAAACTGTGCGACCACTCTGGACTAGGCAGCCCCGAGCTGCCTGCCATTTGAAACCAGACACATAAATGAGCACAGCTGACGCTCCAGCTGTACTGAATTTGCCAACCATAGACTGGAGAGCCAAAAAAATTAGTTTTTAGGGTATCAAATTTGGGGGTTGTTTATAATGGGACAATAAATTACTGGTACACTTCCAAACAAGTAAATCATATTTCTTGTGTGTGTGAATGTGTGTGTTTTAAGCTTCACAGAGGAAAGACCACAAAACTTGTCCCATTCTTTGGTTTCCTATCGTTCTAAGTGGGAAAATTGTTGTTCATCAATCCTTTATACAACACAGAAGACCTACTGAACATTAAATTGGACCATCCAGTGCTAAATGGTTTATGATCTTTGTATTAGTAAGATAGATTTAACTGAAATCATGCGTAAGTAGTTTCCATATGATGAAACAAGTGAAGCTCCTTGTCCTTGGTCATGAAGTTAATATGATGGGTTGAATAATGGAGCTAGACTCAGCCAAGTGCAAGCAGAATTGTCTATATTACAACTATTCCTGCAAAACCTTTTCTGTCAGCTTGTTCACCACCTCTGAGGGAGATCTTGGGCAAGTCTGGGAGCTCTTCCCAGGTACTTTAGATAATAAGAAGGCCCCCAGTCATTTCCTGGTAATAAAGGGGGATGTCTACCATCAAACTTCTGGATCATTGTCTCTCTCAAAATTTCTGTTCCTCCCCAGTCTGCATTTGTCTCGGGCTTGGAGGCTGCAGTGAGAAATGCAGCTCATTATCAGGATCTCCTCTCTTTCTCCACCTATCTCTTTCCTAACTTGCAACAGCAGATTTGGTTCCTTCCAAGTTGATGATGGGGAAGTGGGGAGAAGTAAGGATGGAAAAGTTTTACTTTTAATCAGTGGAGTCCTCTGGATGAGACTGATGTCCAAAGTTGTCTCTATGTTATGGAATACTCTTCTGGGCTCTTCAGAGTTATTCCCACTAGGAACATCTGATTGAAGTCCTCCAAATTGGATTATGCTTCCCTTGGCTTAGCATACTTAATTTTGCCTTAATTTTTAAGGATGTGTGTCCAGACTCTTCTTTCTGGGTAGCTTCTCTTCTGGCAGGAAGCCCAGCAGCATGTACATTCCAAGTCAGCTGATGGCCAACGCGCTCCATGGGATCCACAGAGCACAGAAGGTTCACATCCTTAGAAGTGTACCTTGTGTCCAAAGCTGTGCATCCAGGGCAGGCATCCAGGCAGAGTCTCTTGTCTTTATAATGTTCAGACTTAAGTCGTGTGCTACTTCCCAATATGTCAACTTCTCCAAATTAATCTCTTGAACATACTCATTTGCCTCAAAGTGAGTGATAAATATGATTCACGGTGAGGAAAAGAAAATCCCCTGTATCCCCAAACTCTCTTTTAAAAATCTCCATTTTCCAAAGTCTTAGCAAATTCAGTCTTCACAGTAGTTCTAAGAGCTATTATTTTTTTCCAATAAACTTGCCCAACTTATAAAGTCAATAATTATCAGAGCTGGGAATCAGGCCGAAGCCTTAACCATTGAGCCTCTCAGTCATGACGATTCTGCTTTTGGAAGTCTCTTCCTAATGAGATCTTCTTTAATCTAAATTCTTTAAACTATCCCTCACTGCTTGACCGCGTTATATGACTGCCTTGGGGCTGCTATTCTCCAAACTCTCAAACATCCAACTTTACCTTTTGAAGACCGTGACCTTTATAACAAAGGTCACATATAATCAGCTACTATCTATAGTGGTTAAGGTATCAAAATCAAGGATGGGACATTTATCTGCATAATGTGGGACTCTCAGGTTTGCACATCACTGGCAATTCACTTCTAAGATCACTTGATTTCAGTGACAACAGCTAAAAACTACCTCCTGAGGAGCAATACATCCCATTTTGAATGAGCCCAAATAAGCCTTGATGTTCCAGGCAATGC